GTGAAATGTGAAATGTGAAATGTGAAATGTGAAATGTGAAATGTGAAATGTGAAATGTGAAATGCGAAATGTTTTTGCCAATTGCCGGGCATGCCAGTGGCCTTTCAATTAGCCTCAGAAGAATGGCGTACAAAATGAGTAGTATATGAGTAGTGCGATGTATGCCCGGCAGGACTGCAACCCCATTGGCCTGGCGAGTTGCGCAGCCCCGTTGTTAGGTCATACAACCTGGCCTGGCAACATGTGAACGTGGCTTGTCGTTAGTCGAGTGAAAAGGAAGCTCAGACCGGTTTCATAAAAGTCACTTGACCGTGACCCATTCTCAGGGCACGACCAACATTTGCCGACAGAGGTCAGCATTTGCTGCCGGCCTGTTGTGCCAAAAAACGGCACCAATTAGCACAGGCCAGACGTGGAAACCGTCTCGGCCGGCATAAAATGCGCTTGTTCACCGTTTTAATCGGCACTCAGAAGAGGCAAAAAATCCGCCCAAACCATGGCAACTTGGTGTTGTGTGTGTGGTTTTATTGACGACGGGCACACGAGGCGGACACGAGTGTGGAAGTGGTGGAAAGACGTGAGTGATGATGATTGTTTTATAAGTGACTGTGATCTCGCGGCCCAGTTTGATTGCTGACCTGTCGCGTCGGGCGCTGTGCAGGCAGTCTTGAGCCCCACCAACCACTGGCTGATCGCATTCGCCCACTTTTTGTGCGCATGCGTCTGCCTGTCCTTTCCCACCATTACACTCTCCGTCCGTCCGTCCCATTCCCACTTGAGCCGGCGGAATCGGCCCAAATATCCCAATGTCACCCTCACTCTTTTGCGTATGTTCCCATACATGTGTGTATGTATGCATGTATGTATGTATGTATGCATGGGTGCGAATGTGTGTCGGCTTGTGCGGAGACGAGTCGGTCTTCGTTGAGCGTGAGAACTGGTCCGTTTCCAGAGCCTATTTATCAAAACCTGTCCGAGGTCCAGTTTCGCGCCGGGAAAGTGACAAATGGGATCCGGCGACCCCGAAAATGGGTGCCGAAAGCGATGCTGGACGCGGAGTTGCG